TGGAGGGTCGACAAAAGAGGGGGAGGCCTTCAACGAGATGGATTGATATGGTGGCTGTGATGATGGGCTCAAGTATAGCAGGGATTGTGGGGCTGGCGTGGGATCGGGCAGTGTTTCGTTCTGCTGTGCGTGGGGTTGCTGAGTCAGAAATGACTCGGCGGCACTTAACAACAACAACAACAACATACAAATACACTTATAGAACCATTGTCTGCCAACCCTAAACATGGTCTTGGGTACACTCCCCACTTCATAGACATATCTAATACTTCAGCCTGTCCACCCATCTAGCCACCTGTATACCCATGTTGCCTTCACTGACAATGTAGTACTATATGTGCAAAGGGTTCATTTTTGTTGTCTGTACCTCCCATGTACCTCTCTATGTCTTTCTCTTCCTCAATGTCACCATGTTGATCACTCACATCTGGAACACTGCCCTTCTCTTCACCCAAATCAATAATTATCTCTACCTATCTAATAGTGTTCCCACCCCCCACCCCTGGTAACCAACAAAGAAAATTTCCTTCAATAGACAAACCTTTCCTTAACTTTTACAATAATGGACTAATACAATATTTGTAACATAGAGACTTTCAAGTGACTTGCTCAATTAAGTATTAGTGCAGAGATTCAGTCTCCAGGGTCAATGATTTTGATTATTATGCTACCACCCTATCTGTGGTAGTTAAGTTTGTGTCAACTTGGCTGGGCCTGGTTAAGTGGCTGGGCAGCTAGATGTAGTATTCCCCATGACAAGACTGATAATCAACTCCACAGTGGAATCTACTGTGAGCAGCTGAGTAGCTTCCCTAGGGATGTGGTCTACCTCCTGTATATAAGGAGAAACCTTGGCGAATATTCTCTAGCTTATGGCACGTTTGGACCTGCATGTAGCTGTGTTGTTGTTCAGCAGCCTGCCATACCCTGCCAACCTCGGGACTTACAATGGACTTGAATTAATGACCTGCCATGTGGCTTGGTAACATTGGGACTATGCCATTTTGTTTGTCGACCCTGGGCTTGTTAGCCTCAGCAACTAGTAGCTGCCTGATGGAAGAGATGCCTCTAGCTTCAGTGGGCTGGGAGCAAGAGGCAGAGCTGAAGCCCAAGGTTGAGGGGCTTTCACACAGGCCCTAGATCCTGGTACTTTGAACTTGGACTTCAAGCCTCCAAACTGTGAGAGAATAACTCCTGTTTGTTAAGGCCATCCCATTTCTGGTATATTCTTGTCAGAGCAGCACTAGGTAACCAGAACACTATCCTTAGAAAGTAAATTCTGGCCAGTGTTTCATACAACCTTTTAACTTACTCAACAGAGGTGCCAGTGAAAACCACTGCCATCGAGTCAATTCTGACTCATAGCAACCCACCTGCACCACAGGGTTTCCAAGGCTGTACATCTTTACAGTAGATTGCCCCATTTTCTTCCCATTGAGCATTTGGTGGTTTTGAACTGCTGACCTTCTGGTTAGCAGCCAAATGCCTTATCTACTGCACCACCAAAGCTCCTTGTCAGTGAAAACACAACCCTATAATTCTATACCTGAGATTTTGTTTTTTCAAGTTTTTTTTTTTTTAATTGTGATTTTGGTGGAACATTTACAAATTCATTTTCCATATAGCAGTTCATATACATTTTGTTTCATGATGTTGATTGCAATCCCCATAATGTGACAGCTCTTGTCCCACTTCTTCCCTGTGGTTACCTTTTCCTTGTGTCCTTGTTTCCTATGCATTCTTGCTCTCTGAGTTATCTCCCTGAGATTTTATCTACCATTTTGTTTCCAGAAATCTGCCACATCCTTTTGGAATGAAGAATAAGTCAAGGACCTCCAATGAGGTTCACTGGACTGGCCATTCTTCCAAAGAATTTAAGCTATTGTGTAATAACAAGGTTTGAAGTCAAGTATATGACAAATGAGTGACTATAGACTGTCAGAGGTGGAAGGAACATTACAGACCACAGTCCTACTTTCTCAGTTATAAACAAGTGCAGAGAAGCTAATTAGTTGGCAAAATGTCCCTTAGGAATGAAAGCAGGTTGTTCTAACTGAAATGGTAAAATCCTTGCTTCCTCACTGTGAACTGCTTTCACCATAAGGGAGTCATGAGGGTTAAGAGCCAGCCACTTTTGGTGGTGATATAAGTGATTGCATTAATCCTTAGGTAGCTGCTAGGTGCTGTTCGGTCAACTCTGACCCATAGCAACCCTATGTACAACAGAATGAAATACCACCCAGTCCTGTGCCATCCTCACAATTGTTGCTATATTTGAACCTATTGTTGCAGCCACTGTGTCAATCCATCTCCCTTTAGAGGGGTCACTCTGGATCGACTCAATGGCAGTGAGTTTGGTTTTGTTTTTTGGAATCTATCACTAATCAGAAATTATACAATCATCCATCCATCTACCCATTCAGGCACTTATTTACTCATTTGCTAAAGTATATACTTATTCTGAAATAGCTAATGAGCCAAAATTTGTGCTAAATTCTAGGTATTTTTAGCACTGTCAATTAGCATTTTTCTCTTTGCCCAGTTTTCAGATTTTGGTAACAGGCCAAGTGTCATGTAATCATTATTACATGATTTTGTATGAAATATGTTTTAGGAATCCTGATCAGGTTAATTGTGGCATAGTTTACAGCTTCCATCTATTAATCCAAAGTAAGGAGTTCACTTAGGAGTATTTCCTTTGTTACTCAGAATCTCATTTTTTCGCTCCAATGTTTCTTTTAAATATCACATGCTTCGTCTCAAGTCAAACATGGACAAGGCTCAGGAAAGACAATAGTCAACAGAAAACTGCTTCCAGTACCAAAGAAGAACCCAGATTTCTGCAAATGAGAATCATAAGGTCCTTGTTGAAAAGTATTTAGATCTGCCCACGGCATACATACATTCTGGGTTTTCTCAGAAGGTAGTGGGAAACTGATCCCTGCACCCTATTTCCCTGCCAGGACCAATCAGCTAGTGTTGCTTGTATAAACACTGCAACTACTGTCTTTTCTAAATAATTCTAATTCAATCACGTAGAGCTCTCTAAGCAGTCCAAACTGGTTTGGTCCAGCATTCAGTTCTGCACCACATGGCAACATTATTTTCTGATGGCAATGAGGGTAGGAAAGGAAATGAAGCACAGTGTCAAGATGTCAACATTCTGAGTATATTTATTTATGTTTATATTTGTGGATGGAAATTTTTTCCATGCTACAAAGTTTTGTTAAAAATAAATTGTTAGAAATCAATAAATAATATAAACAACTATTACTAGAACAATAAATAAAAAACAAACAGATGTCACTACTTTAATATACACAAGACTGATGTTTTTTGGTTATAAAATGCATGAGTGCCACCATTTTTCTTTCTTGTAGTATTTTCCCTTGAGATACAATATTTATATTGGGCACTGCTTTGTGCTTGTCTTACTAGTCCAGGCTTGTAGCACACCAAGGAATTGCAAATATTTCCATTCAATACTGTTTTCTATCAAATGGACGCTTATTTTCTGCCATGCTACAAATGAAATAGAAGCTTGGTACAAAAAGTAATGCAGTCACGTGTATGTGTTATGTGCACAAGGCTAGGAATATTGACCAGTATGAGCTTGTAAAAAGTCATCAAAATCATATGCAATTGCCATTTAAAACTCATTAACTAGCAGCATGTAAATCATAGGGTTGATTGTTCAAACACGGGACAAACAGAATTCCCTGATACTGTTCCCACTTGGGTTTTCCAGTTCATATGGTTCCAGCTGACGATATTCAAAAGTCACGCGATTTATGTGTTTTCCACTGGAGACCATACGCACCACAGTGTTGTCACAGCCAATTTTCATTTGGGCTATATTGATGGGAAAAAATTAGTTTCCCAGAAGGTTAGAAACCATACAGCCAAGCCATTTTTGTTGACCAGTATAATTTAAACACAATGAAAACAAGGGGGTATATCTTATTCTTATGTATTCAAACCATGATATTCAAACCAGATGCCACCAAGTCAATTCCAAATCATAGCAATTCCATATGTGTCAGAATAGAACTGTGTTCCATAGGGTTTCAATGACTGACTTTTCAGAAGTTAACTGCCAGGACTCTCTTCTGAGTCACCTTTGGGTGGATTCAGATTTCCAACCTTTTGTTTAGCAGCTGAATGCATTAACTGCACCATCTAGGATCTCCTATTTTTATTATAATAGACAATTAATTTAGAATATTGAATTGAACTCAGCCTTTCTCCTTCGTGTCCAAGAATACTGTTACCTATATAAAACTGGCTGGAAACAGAGGAGAAGAAACCTCCTGGCCTTTTCCTTGTTTTCCTACCTGCAAGACTTTAGTGGTAAAGACATGAAGGCAGCAGTCTGTCAATCCTGCACCTTTGTTTTAGTTCAGTGTTCTCAGGCCTCAGTTCTGCCCTTTAGGGAACTATAAAGGGCAGGATTCCTAATAATTCTTCACTGTCTGAATGATTTAGGAGGGGTTCATCACAAACATGGTGAAGTTTAAAATGAAGCAATGAGTCATATAATTTAAGGCTTAAGTGTGTTCTGGCTTCAATTATCTAGATCATTTAGGCCAAAGTGGTTTTTTTTGGCCTCAGTCTCACATTTTACCTAATTCGAGTCACATAATCCAAGTAGAAAAATTACTCTGGTTTTAATTATCTAAATTTTAAGGTATGAGTGGCCTTTAGTTCTAAACTCATCTTTTTATCCAGCTGAAATGCATCTCCTTATATGTGCTCTCCAATCATCAGCAATGATGTAATTCAGAGCCTCAGTGCATGCAAAAGCTAGAGAAACCACCTGCACTGACAATTCAAACAAAGGCTCAAGTGTAAATTAGCAGGAAATACTTTTCTACTTGCAGCAGAGTGGATATTTGGAAACATTTGCCCTTTACCTTGATAGGAGGGTTTCCCTTGAGCCCAACCAATAAAAAATTGGTTGCCATGGAGTCAATTCCAACTCCTGGAGACCCTATGTGTGTCAGGGTAGAAATGTGTTCCATAGGGTTTTCAATGGATGCTTTTAGAAGTAGATTATCAGGCCTTTCTTCTGAGGTACCTCTGGGTGAACTTGAACCACCAACCTTTCAGTTAGCTGATAAGAACTTATCTGAAATTTTATACAGGTGTATGGGGAGAGGGAGTACATATCAACCCTTAATGCTTACTGATGTATATTAATCCTATTTCAGAGTTCTCAGCATTAGCTCAAAGAGAAATATTACCAGTGGGCATATCTAGTTTTAATTAAAACAGGGAACACATTTGATGTACACTTATGATGTGTAGCTTGATTATCTAGCTCATTAATGATCTGCGATGACAGGAGAGAAAGAGGGCTATGGTAAAAATTAAGAATTAACTATGAGATTAGAGATTGTTCTTCTGTTTTACTTTTCTCTCTTTAAAAATAATCTCGTTTCTGCATCTGAATATATGGGAATCGACCTTTGCAGAAATGTTTCATGCAATCTCGCCCTCCTCCCTTGAACTTCATTAATTAGTTTGGTCACAAGTGGGTCAGTGGTAATTCCCACCCCCCCTTATCCCACCTGAAAATAATCCAACAGAGCACATTTTCCGGCCATTGACAAAGAAAAGGTGGTTCTGTCTGGCACGCAGTGCATTCAGAACTTTGAAGCAATTCATTCTCACCCCCTTGCTGAGAATTTGCATTTTCATCCCCGAGATACTGAACCAGAATCTATATTTTAATAAGATCCCCTAGTGATTCTTATAGATACACAGGTGATTCTTATATGTACAAAGGACTTAAGAATTTCTAATAAAGTTTATCTCTTTGTTGTAGATAAAATATATTTGGGAAATTTATTTAGATATTACTTTGTTATTATACTACTGCTAATTGGTATATCTATAAGTTTTGCAGTTGTCAGATAAAACCTTTCGTTTCTAGAGACAAAAGCAGGGACTTCCAATAAGGTAGAAAGGGCACAGAATAGGAAAGCTTTGTCTTTTTCGTAGTTTTACTTAGGGCCAACCTTGAATGCACATCTTTATTCCTCATGGGTTCCTCTCCCAGTGTTAGATATTTTGGTAATGATTTTATGCTTATGTTCAGTAGGATATAGGCTCAAATGTAAAACCTTCATATTGGCTCAATGTACAAATTGAAATGTTTTGGTGGACCTTATTTTTCAATTCATAAAAAATTAGGATGTTTAATTTAAGGAAATAATTTTGATAGGCACACAAATAATAATCTCACCAGGGCCATGAAAGGGGTAGCAGAGATCAGCTAAAGGCATCATCTTGGAAGAGTCCAGTCCAGTTCCTCCCAGAAGCTCCACAAAGTCTCCTACTCCCCCACAGCCTGCTGAGGGTTTCTGAAAGAATAAAGTAGCAGAAAAAGATACATTTAAACCAGTTTGAAAGTCACAGCATTCAACAAATGGAAGGTTCAGCAAATTTACTCAATCAACCCCAGACATCCTGTCATTTAATTTATCATCCAGGACTCCGGAAATTAAAAGACATTAAAGGGGGATGGGGATGGGGAACTCATATGAATTGCTTTCCTAAATCAGTTGAGTAATCATTTTTTAAAAAAATGTATGTGTATATCTTCTTTTTTGAAGTTAAGAGCTGAAATGATGGAATGGAAATCTGTAAACTCCATATAAAATACATAGAATTTAACCTAAAAATGTTTTGCTTTTCAATCATTGGAAAATACATACTGAATTACTTGAATTCCTTAATGCATGGAGTCAGGGTTAAAGCAAGTCAAATATCTGCATTTTGTAAATAAGATTTTCACATCAGGTTTTCCTCCAACTTACCTCTTTTCCTCTTCTTCACTAAGGAATTATTATGCTATATTATGTTATTCAGACACATTATTTCTACTGATAAGGATTTAGGTTAGTCGTGGGAATATCTGTTAATATTAATAGAGAAGAAAACTCTAATTTGGGGCCTAACTAAGCTAGAGTTTCCATGATCTTTCTCTTTGTCAACTAAAACAAATTTATTTCAAGTACTCAAAGGAAGAATTAATTGTAAGACTTTGTGACCCACCATGACCACATTTTTCTGCTTTTCTTTATCCTTTCCACATTGTCTCAGCCATAGCAATTCCTTGTGCCTCACTTTCCCACACAAAACAGCCACTCTCAGTCTCAGATGTTATATTTTGGGCCTACTGTCTCCTGTGATCAGAGTGGCCCCATGGGTATGTGAACTGTGTGGTGCAGGTATGTAGTGCCCGTGTTTAGAAGGGCCCCGTGCTTGGTTTGATACTCTGCAATCACAGTCTTGAGGTTCTTAATTTTTTTTTTTAACAAGAAGCCTTGTGCCTTCATTTTGCACTGTGTCTCACAAATTATGTAGCCACTCCTGCCTGGGATCCTCTTCTTCACTGAGGCCTATTTATGAAGACGACCTGTGGAGCGTGGCAAGGTGCTCAGAAGTCAACCAGATATTCCCTGACACATAGGAACCAAAATCTAAGATAGAGAACTTTAAGCACACATATGCATACACAAGCACACACATTCAAACATTCTAGACACTGGAAAGCAATTGGAACAAAACAACAAATAGGAAGTAACATATACCTACTCCTTACCTTATGGAGCTCTGATGGTGTAGTCGTTAATGCATTTGGCTGCTTACCAAAAGGTTGGTGGTTCAAATCCACCAGCCACTCCATGGGAGAAAGATGAGACAGTCTGTTTCCATGAAGATTTAGAGCCTTGGAAACCCTATTGGGCAGTTCTACTCTATCTGATAGGGTCACTAAGAGTTGGAATCAACTCAACAGCAGTGGATTTGGTTCTGGTTTACTCCTTACTCATTCAGTGTTTCATTACCCGACATTTCACATTTACAACAACAGTAAAATGCTCTCTGGCTATTTATTTTGCACATTAACAATGTATGTCTGGCAGTGACAAATGCTGAGGAATAAGACGAGAGTAACGCTGACTGTGATGGTTAAGTTTATATGTCAACTCAGATAGGCCATGATTCTCAGTGGTTTGGCAGTTATGTAATGATGTAATTTGGCAATTGCATACCCATTCTCCATTTTGTGGTCTGATGGGGTCATCTTTCCTCTCACATAAAGCCAATTTTCACACAACAACATGATCTTTGGAAACTAACCATGTCAGTAAGTGAGGGATGGGTGTAACAGCAACTGTTTGACTAATGAAGGGAAGCAGGTGAGAATGGATATTTTTAAATCAAAGGGTCTCCTATGTGCTCGGGTCTATGTTTGTTGTTATTGTTGTTATGTGCCGTTGAGTCAGCCCTGACTCATAGCGACCCCTCCTTGGGTTTCCAAGGCAGTATCACTACGGAAATAGGATTGCCCAACCTTCCTTCCGAGTGGCTGGTGGGTTTGAACCGCCAGCCATCTGGTTAGCAGGCAAGTGTCTTAGCCACTATGCTACCAGAGCTATGTTTAGGTGCTCTATATTTCATCAAATGAATAAAGAGAATTTTAACTAGCCCCACTGTGTGCAAGACTTCATGCTCTTATATGGTTTAATAAATTACTTAAGGATGAAGGGGAAAAGAAAAAAACAATCTTAATCATTTTTTTTTCTTGGTATCCAGGAAGAATATCTCTAAGGCTAAACTTTCCACCTGGCTGTATAGGTTTCAAATTTTAGCAGGTGATGAAAGGAAAAAGGTAGACTTGACAGAAAAAAATGGAAAAGAAGGACATTGGGAAGAAGTAGAGGCTAAAATGAGAAGAGTAAAGCAAAGAAGGAAGGAAGTTGGAGGCACTTATTCCTTGGTATATAATGATTTTTTTTCTCTCCTCAAATCTCTCAGCTTTTCTTATAAACAAGAAAAGAAATTGAGTTGTGGAAATACGCCCCTCAGGTTCAGTTCCTCAACCATGATCTCCTGAATTTCTTTGTTGAGGCTCCACCTCCCTGGCGTATGCCACTATCATCTCTCGCCTAGAGTATGACATTGGGCTCCTAAGTAGACTTTTACCGCCACTCCTGTCCCTATGGCCCAGAATGACCTTACAGTATAAATGAGTTCATGCCGTGATTTCCCACTGCTGTTAGAATAAACTCAAACTCCTTAATTTGGTCTGCAGGGTCTCTATGAGCTGGCCCTGCCCATCTCCCCAATGCTATCTCATACCACTCTCCCTCTACCTCTGCTTTCTCTCCATTTCTGGGACACAGCAAGCCCATTGCTACCTCTGAACCTCTGCACGCTTGTTCCCTCTGTTTCCTGCTCTTCCCATAGCTTCTGGGCCCTTCTTGCCTATTGCTCAGAGCTCAATCTAAATGCCTTTATCTCAGAGACATCCTTATCTCAAGTAGTTGTCCATCACTGTCTATCACACCACTCGGCCTCATTTTCTGTACAGCATTTACTGCTATTTGAAATACCATATCATTTTGCTGTCTCCTCCCCCCAGAATGTTGGTTCCATGTGAGCAGGAACCATTTTATTTGTTGCTAATTTCCAGCATCTAGACTAGTGCCTGCACGGGGTAAGCACTCAAAAATATTTTATAAAGGAATAGTAGAACAATGTAGATGCTAAAATCATAAAAGAAAAATACCAACGTAACTTGCTATAATGAAGAACAAATTACAACACACACAAACATTACCAAGCCTGTTTACCTCTGATCCTCACCAAAGGATTCTTCTTCCATTAAGGTGCAACTAAAAGAGCAGACACTGGCCTATGCATTTAGGGCTTTAAAAAATGAACACATCTCTTTTCTCAGTCCTGGTCTGATTTAGTTGGTTTTCACTGAATTTTGTCAGAGATGGAGCCATAACTATCTCTGATGTTAACAAATGCCTAGATTTCTTAACCTACCCTTATGAACAAGTAAAAGTAAATAAGGACGATTTAGAGGGAAAAAGCTACCAATGCAAGTAAATGTAGTTAGGCTCAGCGTTAGTTCTAAGGTCATGGGAAAACAAGTTGAAAGGGATTTTCAGGTAATATTCTTGATGCAAAATGTATTGAATTAAATGTAATGCAAAAGTATTTATGAAAACCTCACCAAAGTTTGCAACATAAAAATCCAGTTCCACATTTTATGCTATACTTATAGCACAGTTCTGTCAATGAGATACTTCCTTCATGTCAAAAGAAAATTCCAATAATCAGAAAAACAGCTGTGTAGATGACTCACACTAGGTTCTGCTAGGAGAGAATTTTTGTAAAAGAAGCAAGCACAAGAGAATTCAATTGTAATTATATACTACAACTTCACCAATTGAAAACATTTTTACATCACCAGAAAAGTATTCAGATAGTCAGATGGGTCACCTGAGTATGTGACGTTCACCATAACTGAAACAGAAGAAGGGTTTGGTTAAGAGCATTGAAGGCAAGTACATGTGCAATTTAACAGCCAATCAGAGGTGGGCTGATTGACGAACACAACTGGTCCAATCTGGTAATGTCCCAGTTTGTTGTGTGTGATTGCTTTTGCTCTGATATAGCCAGGGTCTTAGAAAATTATTCAGAAGCAAGTAAGAACTCACCTTTAAGTGAAAACCATTTAAATGTCCCAGAGTGAGATCAGATATTTTTATCACCACAGGATAAATTATGGAGAAACTGCAGTTTCGATGCTGATGTGGAACTACCAGGCTAAACCTTCCATTTGGGGTCTGGGAGATGACATTGCAGGCTTTGTAGAGAAAGAAATTAAATAAAACAACTTTGCATTACTTTGTATGCTGGTTTTTTATAGAAACTCATTTTATCCTTATTCAAGACTCTTCTTTGTGGCCTAGGACCTTGTGCCCAGGAAGATAGCATATATCACAAAGGCAATTTGGGGAATAAAAGTCATCAATGACATGGACATTGTCAGGAGGTCTTGCACTTACAAGGCGCTTCTAATCTAGGGGCTTATTGTGTTTATAACAATGACAAGACATAACTCAATAACCACATAAATGATACTATCTGGAAGTATTGTAGGAACATTCCAGTTCAGTGGTGTCCCAATCCAAGCTGAGAGTCTGGAAGAATTGAGGCCTAAAGGTGAAGCCATAACTCAAAAGCTGTCTGTCTGTGGCCTTCATTAACTGAATCAAGAGCCATAATATTAGGTTTAAAATAATGTAATAGATAAACAATAGTCACAAAATAGGCTGAGAAAGAAAGACAATAGTCTTTGATCAGCCAGAAAAATATCTGCTAGGTGTTAAATAATAAGTTGACCAAAAGGTAAACTTTTAATGTTTAATGTACCCTTCAAATTTCTGAAATTTTTTGTTTTGTGTCTCAAACCTAGACTTAGAGAGTGATTCTTCTAGCTTTGAAACCAGAAGCATCAGAGTTTGCAGTTTTTTTCTTTCCCAGTTATGGGGACATATGTTTTCTGAGTGATCAGAACAGATCAGAAGTGCCTCTTGCCTCCTTCCTATATTTTTAATTACACTTAATTTCAAGAAGAACTAACATTTTTTGATGGTTATATTTTCTGAATTCTAACCAAACAAAATATAAGAGAAACAATTCCTTTTTTCGTCTAGGATTATTTTGCTCCACCCACCCACTGCCATCAAGTTGATTCTGACTCAGAGTGACCCTATAGGACAGAGGAGAACTGCCTGATCCATAGGGTTTCCAAGGCTGCAAATTTTTACAGAAGCAGACTATCTCATCTTTCTCTCACAGAGCAGCTGGTAGGTTCAAACCACCAACCTTTTGGTTAGCAGCTGAATGTTTTAACCGTTGTGCAACTAGGAACTCCTATTTTGCTCCAATCCTCTGAAATAGCCTTTTGGGGAGACTTCTTTCAAAATTTCTTTTCTTTTTTAAATTATAATCTGAGGATTAGTCAGTACATTATTCTTTGGCAGATTAGGCTCCATTCTTCAACCACATAATATTGTTAATAGTAAATTAACATTAATATACGTAATCTATGATGAGTGATATGTTTTCTTTTAATTTTTCAAAAAATATTTTTGTCTTGATGGGAAGAAAACAATAAGCAGATGAACAAACTCATTTTGATTAAGAAAATGTACTTTAGGCCTAGGCTGTTCAGTTTTACAAAACAATCTATGTTTGTATTTATCAGAAATCAGCTACATTAGAGCAGTGGACTCAGAATCAGAAGGCAGTGATGAGGTCCCTCTGGTCCTACTCTCTCTGTCCAAGAAATAAAATCCATCTACCACATCCAGACACACAGTCTTTCAGTCTTTGCCTAATTATCTCTAGGACTACTACTTCGTATCTGGTCCCTCAATCTTATCCAGGATAAATGAAATGACTTGGTGGGATTAGTCTATCACTGAATGCATTGTAGCACCTTAGGAGATTAAAACAAGACTGGGGAAAAATGAAATTTTAGCTATTGTATTTTTTTTTCTTTTTGGTAATATAGTATATATACTACCTAGCCTGGAATAAATTAAAAACTGTGATTTTATTTTCATAATAATGAATACAAAAATTTGTTTTAGGTCATTTCTAATTACAAAATAATTCCCATTTAAATCATCGCTCAGTTCAAATTTCTTAAGACTGTGCAATGATACTGAGCAGGCTTGACCTCAAGCTCTGCTTTTCAACTGAGGAGACGGGGGCCCACTTACGAAAGAGGTTAGGATCAGTCTTTATGGTTAATGTGAATCCATTTCCTGGTTCCTGGACTCGGAAGAAGATCATGGCCACATTCTGGGAGGATCTGATGCTCCTTCGGGTAAGACCACTCTCACAGAAATCTACATACCGCTCAGGTGTGCGGAGAGGATGATCCTGGGAACTGGGGAACTTCTCCCCCTTGAGAATCCAACCATCAAATACCTTCCAATAAAAATACAAACACAAACACCAATGATCATTTCCATCAGCTGCTGATATCATGGGGAAAACTTACGTAGCTATGGACCTTCAGTCGTAAGTGAGGAATTGACACCTACTCTCCCCTGCCCACTTTTTTCTGACTTGTATATATATATGTTGTTGTTGTTGTTTGCCGTCGAGTTGGCCCCAACTCATAGCGACCTCTCCTTGGGTTTCCAAGGCAGTATCACTACGGAAGTAGGATTGCCCAACCTTCCTTCTGAGGAGTGGCTGGTGGGTTTGAACCGCCAGCCTTCAGGTGAGCAGTCAAGTGCCATAGGCACTATGCTACCAGAGCTTCTGACTTGTATATACACTCGTATATATTTTGACTGTGAAGGTTGTTTTGCAAGTAATGTTATTTTTTTCTTAATAAACCTTGAAGTGTATATGGCTTTAAATAAAAGTAAATAAAATAATAATTTTAGCCACCTCTATAAATGAAAATACAGGTAATACACATTTGTATCCTAGTTGCATTTTCTCCAGAAGAATTCCACAAAAAACATTTAAGTTTCACTCCTCTCTTTACTCACTGAAATGTGAACAACAAAATACCTGTCTTAAAAATAGCAAAAGAAAAAGCTGGAGCAGCAAACGTACTTGCTAATAAGTATTATATGTCCATTTTCCTCATTTTAAACTATCATCACATTACTTTGAATCAGTAACTGCTTCAATACTCAGATAGTGAAGGCTGGTAAGTCACTTAGGACTTTTTTCCTTGTCTTTTTAACTTTTGCAGTTGAAAAGTTTTGACTTTACTCTCAAAATCACCAAAGGCATCAGGTTCTCAGTCAAAGGAGCCCAATCTAGCCCACAATAGCAAATCACCAACAATCCAATTAGGAGTCACTTCACCACACCAATCCCAATTCTAATGTGTTTGACAAGTTCCAAATAATTCCACTTGGGGGGGGGGTCCTCACGATTATTTTAATTGGGCAATAGAACTCTACCAGCCCTCCCAAGCTGACTTGTGAGTTTTATGGAGGACGACTGGAAGTGGAGATACTGTGAAGTTGGGACCTTGTCATCCCCTCCCACCTGACGCAAATTAGACTCCCTGTCAGCAGCAAGTGCTCTAAGACTGCTCCAAAACCCAGTCAGTTTGGCACTGAAAACAGACTCTGTGAGCCTAGAACCACTCTGCCGAGAGAGGAACCAGAAGGGGAGAGGCAGGCAGGATCCCAGACAGGTGGGGCTGGCTTCTACCGCTTTGGAGCGTCAGATCCAGTTAGTTGTTTGTTTTTGTTGTTGTTTTCATATTTCGTGCGCCCCAGGTTACACCACAGCGTTTCGTATCTCGAGTTCAAGTTTTTGGAAGTGGCCCGACCCTGAGAGCGAACAGAAGCGCATTTGGCAGCGTCAGATATACCCGAATCTGCGCTAGTGGTGGACGTCTCCGGGTTGGGAGCGGGGCGAACGCGCCTCTCAGACTCGGGCACTGCGAAGGTGTCTAATTAAGAGTTACCACCCTCTCCCCACGCTCGGCAGCCCCACGGGGGTCGCAGCACCCCACTCCTTCGTACGCTTCCGTATCTCCCTAGCTGGGGCTACGTGGCGGGCGCGTCTCTCACCTTTAGGAAGTCCCCGCCCTGACAGTCAATGGACACCAGGTCGTAGTGGATGGTAATGAACTCCTCCGGCTCGCTGATGAAGAAGGCGGCGCAGTGCAGCTGCGGCCGATTGGCGGTGAAGGTGAACTGGCCCTGGAGGCTCAGCATGTCCAGGCATCCTGGGAGAAGGGCGGCGGAACCAGCGAGTCCGGGGTTACAGCTACCGCGCACCCTATGTTCTGGCTCTGCTGCGCCCTGCGCCCCGAATCCCAGCCTGAGGCGCGCCACCCTATCTCGCCATGGGCGCACCTCCGCGGACAGATCTTTAACCGCGGCGGTCGCGTCCCGGCCACCCCCTTTCCCGGCGGTGCCAGGAGCTTCCTGGTCTTGGCACACAGCCCCAATCTCCCCACCTCCCTCACGCGGGCAGACGCGAGCCGGGCGGTCGGAACTCACGCAGAGCTCGGCGGTACAACTGCTCCCCCTCCAGCTCCCGCTTCAGATTGGCGCTGAAGAGCGGGAAAGGATCGTGGTCCGCCGCGTCCGGCAGCTGGCAAGGAAAATGGGTCAGTCCGGAAAAGTTCAAGGGGAGCGGGAAAGAAGGATCGAGGAGCGCGGCACCCTCCTTGTCCCGCACCAAAGAGAATGAAGAGAGAGAATCAAGATCTCTCCGGGTCCGGAGAAGACCGAGAGGTCTCAGACCCTTTCCGTCAGGCCAGGGTATTTCAGTTGCCAGAAGAAGGCAGGTTAGCGGGAGGAAAGCTGGCAGTGGGTATGCTCAGAGACTGCAAGGAAGACCAGTCTAGGGAAAACCAGGGGAACTAAGAGGCCTGCAGATAGGGAAGAAGGAGTTAAGACCAACAAAGGCTGAGAAAAGGTCAAGCAGAGGCACCCAGGAAGATGTGATGGGTCAGTGTAGGGATAGCTCACCTCTAGGTACCGACTCTCCCCTCTTAGAGCTGTCAAGAAGATCAGAATGAAGTGACGCTGAAGTTTAAAGGTAGACGACATGCTGGTCTTGTCTCTGCAGCTGGTGTCTCTGCTCCTGATGTCTGGGGGTTTCTTTCCCACACCTTCCTCCAGGCTGAGAGCTAGAAGCTTGTAGGGTCCCTTGGCTAGGTCTCTTTATAGTGCAGTGGGGAGGGGAGGCTGTCTGCCCCTCAACTGATCAAAGCTCAGTAACCATGGGTTACCCTGTCTCAGTGACAGTGTGCGTGGTGATGACGAGGGTCCAGCTCTCAGCTACAAATTTTCAGCGTGGTCCAGCATTATTCACCAAGAATGATTTCAGTCACTACAGCTTGGTGAACTAAAATGTGGGGGGACAAAAGAGGGAAAGACAAAGGAAAAGGGAAAGCATTTTCTTTGGCCTGACAAATGCTACATTCTGCCCACCTGGAGACATTAGGCTAAAACCATAGTGTACAAGGGAATTTTTGGTTTTGGAAAGCAAAGTGACAAAGTTATACACACACATAAATTATACAAACACATATAACCTTATACCGTCTTGTCACATAACCTTAGATGGAATCATTCTGGAAATTGTCAAGGAATATGTAGTCATGCAGTTGCTCATGTCTATCTGGAAGAAACTTCAAGTGTTTTCAATTCCAAAAAGAAGCTGAACAGGGGCTGAAGTCTGATTTTAGAGAATTTTGCAGTAATGCAGTTCAAGCTTTTTTTTTTTTTCACCTCCTATTTCTAAATATTTGTTTTCCCTTGCTCCAAACATTTCTTACAAGCATTTCCTTAATGAGGAAAGCTACCTCTGGGGTCTGTGGACTGTTGACTTTTCATTGAGCTCTGTCACTTGGCCTGAAGTCTGCAGAATGTACACACTTCTGGGCCAAGTAACTACAGCCACAACTTTAGCCTTCATCATAATCACTGAGAGGTGAAGTCATTCCTTTTCACTCATGCAACCACCTGGAATAGTTAAACACTCTGGGAGAAAGAGCTGCTGAGAAGATTTATTGTAACTGCTAACTTGCATATTTATAAACTAAAACCAAACTCACTGCCATCGAGCTAAACAAATGACTTTGCTGCTGTTATTGTTAGTTGCCATTGAGTTGATTCTGACTTATGATGCCATGTGTGTAGAGTAGAACTGCTCCATAGGGTTTTCAAAGCTGTGGCCATTTGGAATCACATTGCCAGGCCTGTCTTGTAAGGCATCTTTGGGTGGGTTTGAACCACCAACCTTTTGGCTAGTAGTTGAGTGCCATTTATGCAACCTAGGGACTCCATTGGCTTAGGAATCCAGAAATAAGTTGGTGAGCATAAACTTAATTTTGCTGATTAGGAGAGAAGAAAATTGTTTCTCTTTTATATCTAAAATTGTGGGAAATAAGAGAATCTTCCACTTTTGGCTTGCCCATCCCTTTCCAATCTATTTTCTAAGCAAACCAAAATCCCACTGCTAATGAGCTGGTTCTGATTCATAGTGACCCTTTAGGGCAGAGTTGTTGTTGTTGTTATGTGCCGTTGAGTCGGCCACAACTCATAGTGACCCCTCCTTGGATTTCCGAGGCAGTCCTTGGATTTCCGAATGGCAGTATCACTAGGGAAGTGGATTGCCCAACTTTCCTTCCGAGGAGTGGCTGGTGGGTTTGAACCGCCAGCCTTCTGGTTAGCAGTCAAGTGCCTTAGCCACTATGCTACCAGAGCTCCTATGTGCTTTATAGAGTTTCCAAGGTGGTAAATCTTTACAGAAGCAGATTGCCTCATCTTTCTCCCACAGGCGGCTGGTGGGTTTGAACAGCCAACCTTGTGGTTAGCAGAAGAATGTTTTAACCACTATATCACCAGAACTCCTTCTCTCTATGCAAAGCAATGGCAAATCCTAAAAATTTCATGTTGTTGCCTCTGCCTGACAGAAAATACTGTTGCTATCTATGTTGTTGTTGTTGTTGTTCTGTGCCGTCAAGTCGGACCCGAGTCATAGCGACCCCTCCTTGGGTTTCCGAGGCAGTATCACTACGGAAGTAGATTGCCCCATCTTCTATAGCTTTCTTGTTATTAAAATTGTTACAAATAATGAAACCATAATACAAGGTTTTAAGTCAAGAAAATATTTTTATTTTTAGTTTATTGATACTCAGAATTAAGCAGTAATTTTCCTAGTGTTGTTAGACTTCATATTAAACAACTTCTTTGTTGTTTAAGCAAAAGGTCTTCCTTATGTGCAACAATGACCATCAACAATGGATTCAGACATACCGACAGGCATGAAGATGGTGCAGGAGTGAGCAGTATTTTGTTGTTATAAATAAAGTTGACATGAGTCAGAGCCAACTTGATGACAACTAACAACCATAACCACAGCCCAACTTTGTAAATGATCCTCAGATCCCAGAGGATGGCAGTAGGGATCCCTGAGGGGAGGGGGAGGGGAGATGAATGCAGAAGGAGCAGCAAAAGGGGGATGAGCACCCAATGGTCCATGAACATTGGCCACCATGTTCATCTCTCCATTCCAGGGCCTGTGTAGACTTCTGAATTTTAGGAAGCATTTTTTAAAAACTTGAGAAGAATAAAAAAAACCCATTGCCATTGAGGCAATTTAGATTTGTAGCAACACTATAGGGCAGAGTAGAACTGCCTCATAGGGTTTCCAAGGCTGTAAATCTTTACAGAAGCAGACTGCTTCATCTTTCTCCTGCAGAGGTGCTGGTGGGTTCAAACCATTGGCCTTTTGGTTAGTAGACAAATGCCTTGCCCACTGCACCACCAGAGCTCCTGTCAAGAGGAATAAAAGAGGAGAAAAACAAATGACTTAACCCCAACTTGCTTAGTAGGCCTCAAACATGCCAGGCCTTCTTCAGGTTTGTCTCTCACCCTGCTTATTCCTGGAGGGAGGTTCAACATGCTCAACCTGTATGTCCCCAGCCTACTCTCCTTTCCTAGTCACTTAGCCATAACCACAACCAGAATTCAGTTCAGCATTCACCTTGGAGCCTTTTCCACTTTGAGGGTCTGGCACCTGGGTGTCATTCCAGATCAATGCTGCTTTAATAGCTTTGCCACGGAGACATTCTTCTCCAACATCTTTCCCGTCCACACACAGAAATAATCACATGAATGATGATGATGCTTCTAAAGTGTCTTCCTACGTTTCCTCCTCAGGAACCACATATAGGAAGAGCTGGGATGAATGAGGGCAACATAATGACACAGTAACATCCAATTTTACATGACAATCCACGAAATATAGTATGATATGAACTCCCCAAATCCTATGTGAGAAAAGTATTATGTGGCATTTTCACCAGATTGGCAAATATCTACTCAGTCAGTGGAAACTGATTTTCTTTAACAAGGGTAATTAGAGGATGAAAACTAGAACCTATGGGGGGAAATTAAGAAGATAAATTGGAGGACAAATAGAATAACCAGCTAGCTATTCTTTATAAACAAGTATTAAAAATTGGTAAGATCAATGAAAGAATAATTTAAATTAAAAGTAAAAAAAAAAAAAACACTGTCATTGAGTCAATTCCAATTCATAGACACCCCCTTTGGGTTGCCAAGGCTGTAAATCTTTATGGAAGTAGATTGCTTCATCTTTCTCCTGTAGAGTGGCTGGTGGGTTCCATCTGTCAACATTTTGGTTCACAGCTGAATGCTTTAACCACTGTTCCACCAGAGCTCCTGAGTCCAAGTGGCCTGATTAGAAATTATTTGTATGTTTACCTCCATTCTCTGGTTACGTTTTAATTTTTCTCCATATTTTTCTTTAATGTTGATGTTAGTACAGTCCCTGATAAATGTTTTTTAGGTCTTAAACTGTTATGAGGTGGGATTAAGACTTTTTTGTTTGTTTGTTATTATTAGACATGATTAAACTTTTTTTTTTTTTTTTTCCTTTCACAGAGTCCCAGAGCAAATTGCTGCCTGTGCTAAGCCTGAGTGTCAAGTTGCCCACATGGTATTAGATCCACATTCAATCTATGATGGTTTGAATCTACCAGCTGCTCCACAGAAGAAAGATGAGGCAGTCTGTTTTCATAAAGATTTACAGCCTTGGATACCCAATGGGGGTATCCAAGTCAGAATTGACTCAATGGTAGTGAGTTTGATTTGGTTATTTACTTGACCTATGAACATGGGTGGGTGGAAGGGAATTAAGAATTGTACTGAGAATGAAGATGTGTACAGACAACTTCTAGCAAGCAGAGGGACTTTGTGGCACCCTAGAAATATGACCTATCACTTGATGGTGAGAGGCCAGTAAAAGGCTATAGAGTCTCTTCCTTGGCTTATGCACTAAGGTGTCAGAAATAGCAAAGGAAACTAAATAATCTCAAATTCCTTTCTATTCTAGAATCCTCTAACCCACTCATTGCCTGCAATAAGACTGTTTTTCTTTTGTTAATCTTCTCAACAGAAAATGTGTGCTTTGAAGACCTTTTCTTCCCCATTTCCTGACCAATTTTTTGAAATGTTAGGAAATGGGATATGTCATTGAGTTCTTTAGGAAATAAAAATATATGATCAAATAAAGCTGGTTGTTGTTAGCAAAAAAAAGAAAGAAAATTCAGTTGCTTTCAAGATGACTTGTTTGAATTAATTTGGCTATTTTTAATGCAACTCTTTTTAATAGCTAACATTTATTTTTCAGATGTGTGTCAGATCAGGAAGAAAAAACTAAGCAAATACCTTTTGGGACACTTGTATATATTATCATTAGAATGAAATACTTGTGTGCAAGCTATTTTCAACCAAAATCCTTTATATTTTGCTGTAGTTCAAAAGACCAGCAGTCAGTGGAAGTTAGGACTTTGGGAGGTTGCAAGGAACTGATACCCAACTTGAGCTTAAGCCAAAAGGGGAGTCAATTATCGGGACAGTGATATCTTGCAGAATCTGTGGGTAGCAAAACTAAAGGGAAGGGCTCAAAAGCTGCTCTAGGACTCTCTGTTTGCAGTCTACCTTCTTCCACTTCTGTAGCCCCTATGGTGGTAAACAAACTGCCTATAATTCCTCAGCTCTACATGTTACACTTAACCGAATAAAAATACAGTGAAACAATTTTCTCATAGTATGTAGTCCACAGAACTTTGTTGGGGGTGAGAGTCAAAGACCAGAGGGTTGGCTCCTATCATAGCATGGTTGCTCCCATGACAGCCATATTGTTGGAGAAAAGGAAAAGCATATATATAATTATTGTAGGAATTAAATCTTATATGTAACATAATGAAGATAGTTTTAAATTGTAGCTTTTGTTAAGTTATACTAATTATATTGTATATCTTTATCACTAGGTTTCACTTCTATGATTATA